TGCGAATTAATATGTTATTAATATTTATGTGCCTATATATAGTGTAGAGTTATCGCGAAATAGACGTGCCGATGTTACTGTGCAAGTTGAATATATTATACTGTAACAATTATTTAGGTATTAGTACCTATTCGGAATGGAAACAGTTTTAACATCTGTGTAATGTTGCATTTCGTAGAACATTTGTACAAAACTAATACCATAATGCTATTTTAATAGTTATATACGGCTTATAAGTTCGGACTTCCGACTTGTTATAAAACAAATTAGGTATAATGCATCGTAGTTTATACTCCGATGTCCAAACAAAAAAATATTTTTCATCCGAGAAGATTATAAAGCCGGTTTTACCTATTGCTATTATAATGATATATATAGGATGATTGATGTATATATTATTATAGTTGACATAGCAAAGAGTTCGGTTCAGGGCCACACAGAGGATTATAAGATAACAAGAGAATTGTTCGTGAGAAACAATAATCTCAAGACGGTTTTTGCGGTTTTCTGGTAGAAAATATGAACACATACTAGCGTTTTAAAGTACATTAATATTACTCGTAAGTGGTACTAGCCATTATGTGCAAGAGGTGTAAACATTTTCAAAAGATAACACACTCTCTTTATCAGACAAAAAAAAACAAATAATTTCTATAATGCAACAAATTTTGAAAACAAATAAATGATATTTTGATTGATTGTAAATTTTTATATTAGAATTTTGGATGATTATATTTTGACTCGTCTTTATCATTATAATCATTACTATTTTTACAGTTTTATTAATTATATATGACATATTATAATTATGTGGTTGTGGTAATTATATTAACTTAATAATATGTGAAATATAAATGTAGGTATTTAAATACTTGTAATGATTAATCTATGTTAAAACTCATGTTATTATTAATATGAATAATATGACACATTCACAAATTTGTATATTAACAATAAGTAATGAATGTATTCTATTTAAACCTGTTATATTTTATTTGTTACATTATGACTGTCCCTCCTGCCAACAAGGTCTGCGCCTATGGGTGGCGTTTAAATATATAAACAAATAAATAAATATTCAAAACTACCTACTGTAGAACATACACGGTTTTGATTGAAAATTACAAAAAAACTAACTTAAAAATATCAAACTTTATTAAGTAATAATAGAACTTCTTACTTATAGGTAGGATCTGTTTATTAGTTATAATTTTTGGGGTGGAATTTACATGTACCTTTTTTCTCCATATAATTTAATAATTGTGGCTATCAGTCACGTAATATGACTGAGAGTAAGTAACGTCCGCTGCTACTAGTTCCCTGATGGGCGACCACCCGGGTTCGTAGTAGCAAAAACCTTGCCACACATCTATGTGTTGCTTACTTACCGTAACAACCTTACCATGCCAACTCTACCAACCATAGTCCATAAACCTTACAATAGGGTTGTTCTTTTCAAAATATTTATACCATCTCATAAAGATAAAAAGTTATATTTTAGATTTCGTTAAACTATATAATTAGATATTATGGCTTACGATTTAGTTTGAAATATTATAGTATTTAACTGGGCTATTTATTATTGTCCTATATATATAAATTATCAGTGGCCGGTGGATGTAGGTATAGGTATGCTGGTTGAATATATTATGTTATATTCTATATTGTTAATATTATCGTTTATAACCGACTATTATTATTTATTATTAATAATATGTAACCTATGTGGGCATGTGGCTATGTACTACCTACTATTATATAAGTATACTTTTTTTTGGAAATTTCTGTTATAATATTTTGCAAAAGTGTGTATTATATATGGTTCAAAATAAAATAGAGTTAACAAGTATTAAGTAGGTATATACCTAATTAATAATTTTTAATCATAATATTAGATTGGGTACATTATTATACACAATTTATTTACTTGAAGTGGGTAATTACGAGAAAAGAATACCACAGTCCACGGGAAAATAACTGCACTTTTTATTCGTTTCTTACGATTCATACATAGAAAAGAGAAGCTTGTTATAATATTTTGGATAAGCTTAATAACGATTTCTTATTCTAAAATGTCTGTAGCTACAAAATGATCTGCTGTTTAAATCTAACGAGTAGAATTTATATTTTATCATGGTTGAAATATACAAGGTTATTGCATATATACCTCTTTTCAATCAAATATTTGATGAAAAATAGCAGCGTAAAGGGAGCCAGCTATTTTTCATGGTAAGAACAATATTAATATTTTTGATGTCCCTTTAAGCAGCCATTTCGCATCTGATGATAACAATCCGAGACCATAATATGCAATAACTGTATATTCCAACCATGTATTTTTAACTTTTTAGCCCGTCGTAATTCAACTATTATTGTACCTGTATCTAATGAAGTTTATGAAAAACGATTTACTTAGAATTACATGAAATATTTTTTTGTTGTTTTACTGGAAAAGTCAAACCATTTAGACCCATGTTATGTAAATTACCGAAAACAATTACAGTTTTATATTTTTAATTGGTTAGCCGCGATATAAGTACCTGGTATCTACGTGCTATTTTTTGAAAACAGGTGTTATAGTGCAATACCTAAACACTGTGCAGGTCCTACAGCATTGTACACGCATTTACATACATCATACAGAGCATGATAACGTTTTTATTTGACTCGAGTCTGTACATCATTTTGAAAAATGAACCATGAATGTCATATTAGTCAAATTTCGTTTTGACGCAGGAATTTTTTTAAACAATACAAAAAAATCCACAAATGACACTTACTATCAGCGAAATATACCTGCGAAGGTTAGGCCACCGGCAGCGTTGATCTCAATAGGCTCGTATAATGACGTCTCGAAAACAAATCGCTTGGGACATATTTTTTGTTATTCACGGTTTTTGGAACACACTTAATTATTTATTAATTATCGTATTGTACCTATTATAGGTACTCCACACGAGGGGCCGTCGAATGAAAACAAAAACACTACACACACGTAGTCTGCAATAATATGTTAATATAATATTTATAATTTTAAATGTCATGACTGTTGCTGCTTCAAGTCAGTTGATAATATGATTATTTCCTAATTGACGTTATGGCGCACTTATGAAAACTCATTTTTATAGTTTTTGATATGCTGTTATATTATTATAACTTACGCTTCCACCTAGGTAGTAGGTGTAATTATACCTATATAATACATTTATTAATCAAATGTATTTACAAGCAACCACGATGACATGTGGTGGCCCTTTTTGATGGGTTGGGGAGGGGGGCGGTAAAAGAGGGATATAAAAAAGTGTGTGGTACAAAAAACCGAGAAAAAATTGTCACTAGTCGCTGTTTTTGACATGATGGTAATTACAACAGTGATAGCTTATACACGGTATACCTACTAGTTTCTAGGTCCGTGTGGTTTAAAAAATGTTTATTGGTTAAAGGACTCACACTAACTCACACACTTATCTATATAAATTTCATTAATAGAACATTCCCTGTTTTATTCACCATATACCAGCATAGAGATAATTCTAGCAACTATAAGCACAGAATACAGACATTTTATTAAATATTTATTTATCTTGTTTTTTTTTTACATTAATAAATCACTACACAACAAAAAGATGCGCCAACTGATATTTAATCTTATTGTTAAGACGATGTAAGTACACTATTTGTTTTATCTTTCTGACCAGCGCGCATTACATAACAAATTTTGTGTTCAGAACCAACATTGTGTGTTGTGTTGTTAGCCTTAAGCCGGTTCAACTACACCGTGTCGTGTAAAATAATCACGGTTACCACAGTTACCAACGATGTTTACCAAACAATTTTTACGGTTCGGTACGGTTAATACTACGAATACCAATATGGTACCTAGTACCGTTCCGAACCATAAAAATTGTTTGGTAAACATCGCTTAGTAACTGTGGTAACCATGATTATTTTACACGACGCGGTGTAGTGTGAAGCAGGATTCACAGCTGTGTCGTGTGTCGTTAGTGCGAGGGCTTGGTTATTACGGTTACAGCTGGTAACCAATACGGTTTAAAAGTTGAACTGTAGTCAGTTCTTGGTATAGGTACTCGGTTGCATTACATGATACCAACAAATTTATATTCAATTACAATACGAATTGATGACGATACGGCGCAGGACGTATCTCGTAGCTGTGAATGCGGTTTTTGAGGTATTCAAATGAATTAGCTTATTATTAAGAACATCATCTGTGTTAATAATGTTTATAAACGTTGGCTTTTTTACGATTTTTAAATTTTAAATCGAGATTCGTGGATTTTATAATTTGTTATATTATTTAAATACAACTAAAAATTAAAACTTAGGTATTGAATAAAAATATAAATATTGGTAAAATTCAACCTACAAACACAGATAATGTCTTTAACTTAATGTTTGATTATGGGTCAATTCACTCAAATACTACAAAGCTACCACACAAGGTTGTTTCTGCTGAACGCAAATTTGCCATGTTGTGTCGATCGTGGAGAGGAAACAAAATAAAGCTCTGCCATCCGTGCAGCTATTAATAATTTATCTTTACCGCAAAATTGTAGGTACTTATTACTGTTATTATAGTATACATAATATTATAATATGATAGTGAATAGTACACATTATATTATATGATGTGAATAGAGATTAGTTCAAGTTCCATAGTAAACTAGGTTTAATGCGATATTTGAAACTATATAGGCATATAGGTAGCTAATAATATGCTAGATTCTATACGACTATTAATCAAATGCTCTGAAATATTCCCAAGACCGGAAATTTATAGGGAAAATTACAATTTTTATTCTTGGGAAATCAATATGGGAAATATGGGAATAATTTCTTTGGCACATCACTAACTATTATTGTGTCATATAATAGTCATACATTTATATATATATATATATATATTGTGTCATATAATAAGGGGCTTATTGATGTGGATTTTTCGTTCAAGTGCTTACTGCTTATTATATTTTACTAACCCATCCGCCGTTGTAATGTATCCAAGCGGCCAGATCGTCCTCGATTACTTCGCCGACGGCCTCGATCAGGTCGGGCAGCTGATCGGCACGGCCACGGCGCGCGCAGTCTACAGCAAGCCCGGCGGCCACGCACACAAGCGACACGACTTTAGCCCACGTGACCTGAGCGCCGGCCCGGAACAGTTCCCGGGATACGGACACCAGGACGACAGAAGCCGAGGCCGTGTTTCTCCTGTACGCGGGCCGGTGCCTCTGGAACAGGCGTTGAGGCGGAGCGGCCGGGCCGGTCGTCACCGCAGTCGCCGATGGGTTGCCCGCAACACCGGCTGTGGACGCAGCAGTGGTGGCCGCAGTGTCAGTGGCCACTGTTCCGGCCGCGTACAGTTTCGGGTCGAGCCGCTCCAACTGGAGCCCGACCCGGAGCACGGCGGGGAACACGTCGCGACGCACACCATCGATGTGATCGGCCGCGGCTGCCATCGCCTGTAGTGGCGGTATGAAGTAGCCACCACTTCCGCCACTGCCATTTCCGTCCACAGAAGTCGCGGGATTAGCGGCCGCGCTGACCGAGCGCAACGCAGCGGCGCATTTTTTCGTGTACGCGCCAGCCCGCTTCAGCTTCCACCGGACGTACTTCACGCACAGCGCCTTGCCCTGTCGCGCGATCTGCTCCGTCGGCACGGCCGTCCGCCAACCGATGGTGTGCGACAGTTTCCTGGACACGACGTCACTGACGTTGCTGAACCGCCGGCGGGCCGTGGCCACAGTAAGAGACGGCCCACCGCCGAAGTCGACGCCGCCCAGTTCAGATTGCAGGCTGTGCGACTGCAACACCGCCGGGAAGCTGAACTTGCGCCTGGGCACAGGGGCCGTCGTCCTGCTGCCGCCGTTGTGGTTGTTGTTGTTTGTGTTTGTGGTGTTGTTGTTGTTGTTGTTGAAGTTGGCAGCCGCGCATGAAGACATGACGAGACCACCTTCGGACATGCGCCGTGCTTCATTACACCTGTGTGTGATATGTGATTTTAATATTATGGTATATTAATTATGTGGTTAATTATTTTTTTTTTATTACATTGTTATTATAATTTATTATTATGCTATTTTGCTGAACGTGTTCGTAAAAGCTTAATCTTCGTCAGACATATAAATGGATTAGAATTTTAAAAATTTTAGTAAACACTTTTTTTGTTTGTCTCGATATCGTAGAGAATAATACATTTTAGAAAACAAGTTTTGGATATTACATGAAATAATAATATCGAACGTCGTGATTATATAATAAAAATTAAATGCTATAATTTTAATACACATTATCATGTTATGTAGATATATACCTACAATTTTTTATAAATTTTAAATGGATACTTTCGACTACAACTCTATTAAGCGCGTTATATATGAAAATACATTTTCTGCCAGAAGCAGTCGTTACTTTTATTATTATAGCCCAATCTAAACTAAACGCCACTGAAAACTATCCGCATGCTCAGTCTCATAACTATAATAGTTGTAAACCCAACACAATAAATTGGTGTCAACCGCATACGTGTAATGCCGTTAATGGTCGATCAACAAATTCGATCGATGTAATTTCATCGTTTAGTTATGGACGTGACTCTGTTAAACTACCTATATCGTGTTATTTTGTGCAGACACTATAAATATAATACCCTCGCCGTCGCCGCTCTAATAAAAACCAACAAACTCAATTTCGATTTTCTGCTCACGATGACAACAGTGACGGCGAGTCTGAAAAATAAATATAAGATATATTTTTTCCTTCATCTATTGTCTATAATATTCACTAATGCGTTAAAAGCTTTTAGCGGAACTCGGATTTTATAGATTTTGAGTTTACTCTGTTGAAAAATATAAAGTTTTAAACTAGGTACCTATGTCGCTATTTTATAGTGCTAAGGTTCTTTTTTTTTTGTTATATTTAATAGTTTAAAACAACATATTTTATTTATTTGGGTGTTATGGTTTGTTATAAAAAGCCTACGATGCGTAATCCATAATCGGCATTCTTCATTTCTGCATAATACTATAGGGCTGCAGGTATGGATACAAAAATGGATTCCTCTATGAAAATAATATTATATAGTACCATAAAAAATTCAATACCTATAGGGCTATAGTCAATACCTTTATTTTTGATTTTGATTTGCCTATACCAATACTCACTTGTTCTAAATCCCATGGCAACGAAAGATGTGTAATTTTTTATCTCATTATTTACCACGGCTGTAGTTAGGGCTGATGTCGCCGACCCCGCCCTTACTATTCTTTGACTTAGGCCTACACTAATTACGTATTAGCAAGAGTTTTCACGAAACATTTCATAATTTGAACGCATTTAGTGTAGGCCTAAGTCAAAGAATAGTAAGGGCGGGGTCGGCGACATCAGGCCTAACTCCAGCCGTATCTACATTTATTGAAAATGTCCAACTCGATATTAGCTACGTGATTGCAGGAAAAAATATCTTTTGGATGCAGGGATGGGGATGGACAAGCGAATTTCAGGTTTGGTCGTGCAAATACGTGCTAATTACGAGCTTAATAATGGCGCAGGAAAAATGTGTATATTGGGAAACATGGGATATCCAAATATTATAATATTTAATTAATATTATTATATTAGGGGTGCCAACAGGTAAAGTTAATAAGTTTGAGGACCAGTCGTGCAAATAACATGCTAAACTCAGCTAAAGGATGCTAAATATTGATAAATATTGGAAAAATTGCAATGAATTAAATTTGTAATACACTGATGGGGTTGGGAACATACATCGCTACCCTCGTCCTTAGGTACTAATCTTTGATTTACGCCTAAACCAAATGCGTGAAAATTGTGAAAGGGTTTGTGCAAATTCTTGATGATTATCTACGTGCCACGTAATCGAATCGAAAAATAACACATTTTCCGTCGGCGGAGGACATGCATACACTCTGAATCAATTATATCACAGTAAATCGTATAACATAAGAACTTAAGACGATATTTCGCTCCACATTTTGCGCAAGGGCCTCATATAAATTATAATTTTTCAGAGTCCTTAAATATATTGAAGAGTCGACAGTAATAATATTATACTGTTTGGGTGCGTGGCTTATTTTTAATTCTTTGTTTCTTCTTTCAACTAAAATATAATACAATATTATACGCATGTCGATAAATCGTGTATTATGATATACATTACAAAATTGAAAATAATACCATTATAACCTGTATAGGCACCGCGACCGAGGAATAATACCGGGATGGAAACGATACGGTTGAGACTTACACTGTTTTGAAAACATTTTAAAAATTTAAAACACTTTATTAACGACAATATATATTATTACGATGAGAATAAAAGCATATTTTCTATGCACGTACATATCCGTAGCCGATACGTGTCACACATGTGTTCCTTTTATGTAGAATAATATAACTATACCGTGGCGGTCGACGGACGTCGGTATAATGTGGTTCAAGACTTCATTATTTTACTTAATTTGCAGTAATAATATAAATAATTTATAGTTCGGTGTCGTAGCCGTGTCCGTGATGTTCTCGCGTGCTTAATATAAAAATATTGTAATATAATATACCTTTTCGACGCCGCTCGTCGTAATTTAATGGGTGTTAACCGTGCATATGATGGCGACAAACAAGATTCTACTGTATTAGGTTTAGAGCCGTCTCAAAGTTTTTCGGGGCCAGATGAAAAATAATGAGAGGGCCCTCAATCATTGTAACTCAATAATATGATAAAAAAAAATGGTCAATGAAATTTTCAAAATGTTGTCAACTAAGGTCATTCAAATGAGTAGCACTCCAAAAGTTACCAATGCTGCCTGTAAACCCTTAGCTACAATCCTATATAGGCATTGTATTAGTTTGTTTGTTATATAATTTCATAGTTTGTTAATATCTTGATCATTCTATTGTAATTGTACCTTATGTCTATCTTATCTTATTTTATATTTTATTTTTATCCGATAATGTCATATGCAAAATAAAAATAAAAAGAATTAACTTTACCTAGGTATTTTTGCTTTCAAATTTTTTACCCCACAAATCAAATTTCAACGAATTTTCATGTATTTATTATAATAATTGTTATGCTGTTTTCTAAAATTCCGTTTGGCGTTAAATTTAAAAAAAAATAAATCAATCATAAATTATTCATGATATATTTTATACATCCAAGATTTACAAATGAATATTTAATTTATTTGAGGGGACCCAACAATATTTTGTATATATCAATATATATTATTATGTATCCTACTATAGTTTTATTGCCCGACTTCGCTAGGGCAAAATCAGTGGAGTAGTTTTTGAGTGTACCACAACCACACATACTGTATTTTATATAATATTATATTGTTATAGCTATTTGCGTGTGTGTGCACCGCACGTAAAACAAGGTTTTACCGGGTATGCAACCGATGCAAGTTGAGTAATTTTATCAATTTACTTTTACCAGGTAAATATTTTTATGAGGTGATTTTACATTTTAATGATATGCAATATTTATACTGTTGCAACAATATTTTATGTAGTGGTGACGCAATATAAAAAAAAATAACAATAATTTATTAACGTATTATGATCTTCAAAAAATACTGTCGAAGATTTCGTTTATACTTAAATGGTAAATATGAGTGCCAAAGAATGGAATGTAGAAAATTTAAATTCTGGTTAAACTTGCTTGGTGATAAATGCATTGATATTTTTGGGGGTACCTACAGTTAGCATCAAAACACATAGCTGCTGCTGATTTTTACAAAGGGTTTCATTAAATATTTATGATAAATCTTAAAAACTTAATTAGGGACTTATAATCTGTTCACATTTTTTCCATAAAAGTGTAGTTTGTAATGATAAGATAATTATAGAATATTATAATTTTATATTTCATAGATAATCGAGTAATGTGTATAGTTATGTTCTACCAACATGACAGTGAATAATAATTAGCTTGCTATCACCAGGGGGTGGGCACAGTGGGCTGCATCCCCCCCCCCCGAAATTACAGTCTTTTTAAATAGAACAACAATATATTTTATTAGGTACTATTATAAGTTATAATGTTTCATAGTCTGTTGAAAAATAACAAATACGAATATATTTATAGAAACTGTTAAATATATAGTAGACAGTAGCCTCTAAGTAATAGATCACTTGCTAGTTTCTGTCTACTATAGCCCACCCCAAAAATTATTTCTACATACGCCACTGGCTATCACGAAATATGCAAAGAAGCATAGGCATCGTATGATTTATGTATACTATAATAGCACTATAAATCATAATAGTGTTTATTGACCAATTCTCAAGCAATTGTGCGAGGGTCGATTAAAAATCGAGTGCTGCTAAAGATAACAATATGATATATTTAATAATTTAATATATTTAAGACGAAAAAAAAATAAACAGTTGTATAATAAAAAAGATATCAATTATTATCGAAAAAAACTAATAAAATCGAAAATGTAGTATGCGTTATGAAAAAAACAGCCATAAACAGCGCAAAAAGAGCAAAAATATTTTGAACATTTTATAGTGTATAAAATATAATAATATAAACATTCGATGACAATTTCAAGTATTTACGGTTATTTGTTTTTGAATTACAACAATAAGGAAATTGTTCCATTAGAAATCGTTAGACCTTAGTTGACAAATAATGAAAACCAATGTCGAAAAAATTTGTATTTAGAAAATAATAATATAAATATTTTGTGAAAATGTCAAGTTTCTACAGATGTTTTGGATCGGTTTCGAATTACACAAAAAAAAAAACAAAATCAATTTTGTCGAAAACTAGTTTTGCGTAAAAATCCCTGTTTTTGTTAATTTTTTTTTTGGTTTTTCCCGACTGAATTTTTTACTTTTCACTCATAATTGTAAAACCAATACATTCATTGCTACGCTTAGAATTAAAAATTATAACGACTACAAATTATATTAAAAAATATATTTATTAAAA